TTGCTCGAGCGGGTGCCAGTAATGTCTCCATTCATCCCTGTCTCATGCTAATGTAGCCCTATGGTGTCTACTCTATCCAGGAACATGAAGAGCCTCAAACAGATCATTCAGGTTCTTGACAAAGAAGTCTGACCATTTTATAGGTGGGAAGCCACACAATCTTTTGACGTCCACGGAATCCAGTCAGTAACGGCCCTAGTCCAGTGATCATCTTCAAATTGCATTACGTGTCCAGATCATCTGATTTTTGATGCCTTGGCAAAAGAGACAGTGTCCCTGATTCTCTGTCATCAACAGAGGTCGGAACTCCGGATTCCTTTTCTCTTACTTGAGTGAAGCGTGATACTCCAAGCAATGTGGTGGTTTGGGGAGAGGCTACACGCCTGACATAGAAAAAAAAAGGTTTGTGCATCCGGCCACCTACAAAATGGTCAGACTTCTTTGTCAAGGCCCTGAATGATTGGTTTGAGGCTCTTCGTTTTCCTGGAGAGAGCAGACGCCATAGAATTTTCAGCCGGGGACCAGTAACTGAAATCATTCAGTGATTAGAGTCTGCAGAGAATACTTAATGAGGCTTTGGAGTTGAGCCGTTGGTGTAGCTGTAGTGATTGGGGATGGGTACTGCTGCTAGGGCCTTGATTTGGTGGTTATTCAGCCTGTTTTTCTCCCATGAGCATTCCAAGGTTTTCAGCAGCAGTGTCAGGCAATTCTGTAAGTTTTAGCTGCTTGGCTTACATCTCTACTGTCACTTTTATTAGGGAAATAAAAAAAAACAATAATGAAATATCATTTCACCCAAGCCAGAATGCCAGTTCTCAAAAATAACAGAAATAACTAGTGTTGCTGAGAATATGATGAAAAAGGAACTGTCTCCCACTATTGAAGAGTATGTTATTGGGTTCAACCTCTGTGAAAAGTAGTGTAATTTCTCAAAAAGTCAGAGAGAATATCTATGCTACCCAGAAATTCCATTGCTTGACATTTACCCTCAAATCACAAAAACATTAATTTGAAATGATGAATTGATTTATGTGTTCATTACAGTGCTCAGTACAGTAGTGAGAATATGAAAATAACTGAACGGTCCAAGAATAGATAAATGGGTTAAGAAGTCATACTTGCAGCTGTATGAAAGGGGGGAAATCATGGAGTTCACAGTGATGTAGATATAACCAAAGGCATCATATTGAGGGAAATAAGTCAGAGACAATGGCAAATAAAGGAATGTTTCACTCATCTGTGAAATATACAAAGGAATACAGCATGCAAAAATCACAACTCAATACCTAGCAGTGGGTGAGAGGAGAGCAAGATTTGATTAGAGGTTTGTTACACAGGGACAGAGGTGGGAGGTTATAGTTACTTTGGTGTCGTGATGTGTAATTATTTTGTACATCAAGCAAATTTAAATAAGGAAGTAATGCAATTAAATAATGGAAGTGATCACCATTTATACACACAAACTTCCATCCAAAAGATAGTAATACTCTTTTTTAAGAGAACAAAGGAACATTTTGAGTAATAGATAATATGTTTATGCACAATGAAAATTTGGCTACTTTTGATTTTGGGCTATACCAATTGGTACCCAGAGTTCACGCCTACCTCTGTGCTCAGGGACAAGCCCTGGTGAGGAAAGAGGAGCAGTTGTGGGACAGGGATTGAACTTAGTTCAGCATCATGCCCTACTAGTTGGCTGTACAATCTCTTAAGACTTCTAGCCCCAGAACATCTTAATAAATACATGAGGATTGAAACAATATGAAACATTTTCCTACTTCAATGTTAAAAGACTATAATACAATATTGGGGGCTGGAGAGATAGCACAGCGGGTAGGACGTTTGCCTTGCACACGGCCAACCTGGGTTCGATTCCCAGCATCCCATATAGTTCCCTAAACACCACCAGGAGTAACTCCTGAATGCACAGCTAGAAATAACCCCTATGCATCGCTGGGTGTGACCCAAAAAGCAAAAAAAGATTATAATACAATATTAATAAAGAGAAAATAGAAAAAAACTCTCAAACATGAAAACAAAAACTAGAAATATCATTTGAATTGATAAATAAATTAAAGTGTAAATAAAAACTTCCTGGAGAACAACCAAAGAGAAAAAAGGCAATTTACAAATCATATTTAGTGCTACAATATAAGGGATCATTCCTGGAAGGGCTTAGGGGACCATATGTGTGCCTTTACCACTGTACTATCTCTCCAGTCCCAAACAATATTGGTATTAAGAGGTAAATTCTTTTCTTTAAAGACTCTCAATGAGAAAGAAAATTTGAATCGCGCAGTCACATATGCCCCCTGAAGCAACAACAATAAAACCTTAAAGAATTCTCAAATACCTAGTTTTACACCTAAAGAAAATAGAAAAGGAGAAAGAGTCTAGGCATCTCATTTAGTGGTAAACTGTATGGAATGGAAAGAAAAAAAGAAGTAAGGGAAGGATGAAGGAAGGAAGAAAGGAGATATGGAAGGAGGGAGGGAGGTAAGGAGGGAGGGAGATAAGGATGGAGGGAGCAAGGGATGGAGGGAGGGAAGACAGAAGTTAGAGAGGCAAGCAGGAGGGAAGGAAGAAGTTATAAGGAAGTAAATAATGCATACAAATTAGATTGCGATTATATAAAATAAAAGACAAATAACAAATCAAAAGAACAATGAAACAAAAAGCTGGTTCTTTGAAAGCATGAATAACAATGATAAGCTGCTTGTTAGTATCAACAAGGAAGTGAAAAACAATGTAAAATCCTTGATATAAAGAATTAGAAATGAGGGATCTTTGAGAGTACAGTGAACAAGTCAGGCATTTGCCATGCATGCAGCTTACAAAATTTCAATCCCTAGCAACATATAAGTTTCCCTGAGTCTCAACGGGAGTGATCCCTAAGTGAAGAGAAAGGAATAAGCCCTGAGAAGCCCTGAACACAGCCAAGTGTACATCAAAATTCAAAAATAAAGGGTTAAAAAGGGAATGAAAATGTATTCAATGAAGAAATCCAAATGGCCACAAGACACATGAAAATATGCTTTCTACAATAAAATAGAATTTTCTTGAGTAATCTGATTACATTTAATTTTATGGTTATATTGATAAAAATATTGATGACTCTTGTGGTTTTCATTTTGGGCTTCTTTAAATTGACTTTTGTATGAGAACTGTCAGGCTTAGAAGCCTGTTCTACTGTACTGGGCAGATTTTGAATCTTTTGTTAATGATTTTAATTAAGTAACCATCTAAATGCCTGAGTGTGATGTTAAATAGATTAAGATAATTTCTTCCTTCTAGTGTTTTTTTATCTTTACATTGTTCAGGGTCTGGAAAGATAATGCAGGGGTAAAGAGACTTGCCTTGTAAGCAGCTAACCCCAGTTCTATACTTAGCATCACACAGTCCCTGGAACAAACCTGAATGTAGTCCTTGAGAGTGTATGAGCAGAAACATTTCCTCAACTGTGTTTGCTGAGATCATCTGGAGGGTTTCCGGGGCTTCCTGAACATAAGTTGTGAAACCCCTTCCCACAAATCATTTAAGAGTATTATTGTTATTATTCTTTTGAAGAAAGAATGTAACCTGCCCACACAGCAGAGTCTGGCAAACTCCCCGTGGCGTACCCAATATGACAAATACCAGTAACAATGATGGGTCTCATTCTCCTAACCCTGAAAGGGCCTTGAATATGGCACTTTAAAATCTCAGAGCTAGGACGAAGGAGATGTTACTGGTGCCTGCTTGAGGCAATCGAGCAACAACAGGATGATCGTGATCGTGATTGTGATTCTTTTGAAGAATGAAGTTTAAAGGGTTTCTAAATATACTGCATATAATTGCATTGTTGATTTTCTATTATGAAGTCATAAGAATAAAGACATGGAAAAGAGTAAAGAAATAAGATACTAATAGTTGATAATTTTTGAACTATCACAAATATTACTATAGAATTTCTACAACCTCATAAAAATTTGAGATGAATTTTTATGACCTGTAAAAATAGGAAAATTATAAGCCTGCGTATTTTACAATATCTGTTAAAGATTACTGTTGTCTGAGCTTCTGCCAAAATTTAAGTGAGATTATTGTAAATAGCAATCTAAAGTACATTGTGAATTGTTTTACCTTTTGTAGTCACGTTAATATCTATAATGTGAGGCTAACTTCTCTATCTTCTGCTCAATGATGTTTTATTTGGGGAGTGGTGTGCTACACCTTCAGGTGCTGAGGGGTCCTTGCTCTTTGGCCATGGATCATTCCTGGTGGAGCTTGGCACCCTTATGTGGTGCCTGGGATATAGCCCAGGTAGATTGCATTCAAGACTAGTGACTTGCCCACTATACTATCTCTCTGATTCTTCCAAAGTTTTTTTCAATGAATGCTAAATTTATATAGATATGTATAAAACCATTTTAACTGTGAACCCTTTTGTGATTTACATGTGTGGCTATCAGAGTTAAAATGTGAAGAGTCATAGTGATTGATTATTGAAAAGATTAAATATGTATAATATTTATTTCACCTTCCATAAGAATTTCTAAAAGCACTCTGTTATATATTGGTACTTATTTTTAAACTTAAAAATGATTGATATATTGTAGGGGGTTAGACATTATTGATAAGGGCTTGAATTTTTAATAATAATCAATAATTTTGATATTTATAGCTTAATGGAGAGAGTGTTACAGATATTGCTTTCTCCAATAATACTGAAACCTAGAGTATTCACATCCTCTCTTATCAGAACCATTATTAGATCTCACATAGAAACTATTAATTTAGAAAGTTACCAGTACATCAATGTATTATAATGATTTAGAATAAAGTTTTTAGAAACAGAATTATCTCTAGCTTTAAGATTTTTGTTTATTTTTAATGGGAAAAGTGTAGCAAGAATAATTCTTGGTAATATTTTATATTGCAGAGCATCAATGAAGATATTATTTTACTTAGTTCAAATAATGTAGAAAACATAATAATATAATATGCACTGTCTCTTTTAGGACTGGAACTGCCATTTTTAATGATGCCTCATCCCCTACTTCCAGTCAGCTTACCTCCTGCATCAGTTGCCATGGCAATGAATCAGATGAACCATCTCAATACTATTGCCAACATGGCTGCTGCAGGCCAGACTCACAGTCCACACTCCAGAGCAGAGGCCTCTGCTGTAAAGGTAAGAACAATCAATTTAGATGAAGATAAATGTGTTAATTACATGTAAAATTTGATTAAATATTAACAATGCCATTGAATCTTCAGTATCAACACAGTTCATTGACTTACTTGTTTAGCATATAATATTGAGTTTGATTTATCACTGGGCCTGCTAAGGATTTTTGTTTGTTTCTATTTGCTGCTTTTGTTTGTGTTTATTTCATGACCACAAGTCTCACATATAATTAGCTTCCTATCTTTCAATAATGAATCCTGCATGTGGAAAGCATGATCAGCTTAATAGCAGTAGATTTGTGAGTAAAAGCTGGTGTGAAACACATTCCTGGGTGAAACAAAATAAACACTGAATCTTTTTGGTGTTTTAAAGGCAAATGTTAAGTAGTCAATAAAATGTGGTAAAAAGGATCTGAGTTCCAATTCTGATTCTGCCACTTTATTGCTGAGTGATCTTGGATATGACACTTAACCTGCCTGAACTTGTTTTCTCAACTGCAGAATAAATATATTGATCATATCCTCCTCTTATTTCATTGAGTTTTAAAGATACTGTGAGTAAAATATCCATCGAAAACTGTGAAATATTGAACAAATATTATATTCAGCATTATAATATTAACAGTATTAAAATATTATTTTTTTAAAATTTCAGATAATTTGGATAATGACACACAAATAGTATGTTATAGCTCCTGCTTATGTTTACTAATAGTTTGGAACATAGTATATCTTACTTGTACCTAAATAGCAGATGTGAAAATGACTTTTTAATATATTTATTATATTAACAGTATGAGTATATTTTTATTTATTACTGATTTGCCTAATATATGGGCTTGTTATATAACATTAGAAATGTATCTTATTTATTTATTGATGATGTTCTGACTTAACTGAGACTTTTAGAAAAGGACAACATTATCAAGCAGAAAATTAGATACTACTTTTTAATTTTTTAACTATTTGACACTTATGGTTTTAGTGTATATATATTTACCTCATCTCACTGCCACCAAAATGCCAAAGATCCCACTAGTGCCACTGTTGCTTTCCATTCAATAACAGGGATAGAAACCCCCATGTGCAAGGCAGATATTCTATCACTGACCCACAAGCCCAGACTATATATTGCTTTTTAAAGATGATGTTGGAATACTTATTTAAGTCCTACTAAAACTCAGGAAGACTTTTTGCATAGAAGAACTGGGCCTACATGTATTCAGTTATATTTTTTTGGTATGCCAGTGAAAAATAGTCTATTTTACTTTAATTATCTGACAAAATTTCCCTTCAAATTTATGGAATAGCTATCCACTGCAGGATGAAAAGACAAATAATGAAAAATATATTTTAGGGCCAGAGAGTAAGATCACAGCCTCTAGCATATGCTTTTCCTTCAGAAGAATGAGGTTTTATTTTAGGCACTTTGATTTACAACAATGATGATGGTAGGGTTTCATGAAAACATTTTAAGTCCACACCCTTCATCAAAATGTCTGTTTTCCCACCCAGGGCCCTATTCTTCCCTTCCCCTCTCTAGAGATATACTTCTTACTGAAGATCGTTTCTCATTTTCTATTACTTTTGGGAATTTTTATTTCTTTGCTATGTTTCTTTACATCCCAAGTATACGGTTGATAATTATGTACCTATTCCTCTCCACCTGGCTAACATCACTCAATATTGAACACCCCAATCTATTCATGTAGCATCAAATTCCATGATTTCATCTTTTCTTTTATCTGCATAATGTTTTATTGTGTATTATGTACCATTGTTGTTTATTTTCCCACAAACATTTAATGACACATTTCAAAAACAGTCTAATAGAATTATAAAACCACAGAGAAATTTATATCCAATTCCCATGATCATCATGGATAAATTACTAAATTCTTTTTGTCTTCATCTTTAATTTAAAAACTGTGATTTGCAAAGTAATTGATATTTGAATTTTAGGCATTTAGTATTTCAACACCAATTCCACCACCAGTGTGAACTGTCCTCCAGCAGTGTTCCCAGATTCCCTCCCTACCATAACTCCTACCCCATCCCCTCCTCTCAACTTAAAAGGCACATTGTAATGCTTCAGTGGTGGCAGCTTAGATCTCATGTTTTCAGTTTTATTTATCTATTATTTGGATATATGGCTGTAACCCTAGGTGGAAAATATTATGTAGAGTTCTCAGTAAACTAAGAATTGAACTGCCATATGACTCAGTAATTCCAGTTTGTACATTTACTCTAAAGATATAAAAACATTTCCTCAAAAGGACACATGCACACCATTATTCATTGCTGCACTCAGTACAGTAGCTAGGATATGGAATAACTTTGGTGTTAAATGACAGATAAATGGACTCTGTGCTACAGTTTTTTAATTTAATCATCTGTTCTTAGACATTTGAGTTTCTTCCAGATTTTGGTTATAGTGAGTAGTGCTTCAATTAACATAGAAGACCAAATGTATTTTCTGAAAAGTTTTGAATCCTTGGAGTAGATGCCAAGAAGTGAATCCTCTTTTTAGTAATTTGATTTTTATTGGCTTTTTAAAAATGGAATCACCATGTCACCATGAGATACAGTTGCAAAGATTTCATTATTGGGTTTCAGTCATACAATGTCCCAACACACATCCCTCGACCAGTGTACATTCCCCACCACCAATATCCCTCCTGCCACCACCCCTCATCCCCAGCCTGTCTCTCTGGCAGGTTTTTTTTCAAGAAATGAATCTTAGAAAGTTCTGTTCCTATTTTATGAAAGGTGTTTATATTGTTTTCCAAAAAGTTTGAACTAGTCAACAGTGTCACCAGTAGTGACTTCCCCCACATCCCTGTCAACAGTTCTTACCATCACTGTTCTTTATGATATGTGCCAATCTTACTGATGTGAGATGATATATAACTGTTTTTCATTTGCATTTACATAACAGAAACTGATGCAGATAATATTTCATGCACCTTTTGTTCATTTATCTCTCTTCCTGAGGAAGTTTCTATTCATCTCTCCCCTCATTTTTGATGTTTTTATAGAGTTCTACCAGTGCATTATATACCTTGGAAGTTGACTATTTTCAGATGCACTAGTGTTGAACAATTATTTTATCGTAGTTTGTGGTATGTACTTTTATTCTGGTCATCATTTCTTTTTCAGTGTAAGAGCTACTTATTTGATGCAGTCTCATCTGCTCATATTTGCTTCCGCTTGCTTGGTCACTGACATTGTATCATTGAAAATTCCTCTAGTATAATGTCATAAATTGTTACCATGTTTTCCTCAGTAAAACATGAATTAAGGCCATTGTTCATGATATTTTTGACCTATATTTGGATTTTGATAATATAATTTTTGGAATCTTTATTTTATATTCATCAATGATATAGACCTATAGTTTTCTTTTTTGGTGGTTCCTCTATTGGCTTTTGGGGTCAGGATAATGTTTTCTCAGAGAAACTTTCGGAGATTCTTGTTTCTTACTTTCTGGAAGAGTATGAAAAGGATTAGAAGACAATTTTGTTTTAATATTTGGTAGTAGTTGCTATTAAACCCATCTGCAACCATTCCTTTGTTTGGGAGAAGACATTTTTTGATAGTATTTGTTCTGTTTTGGTACCTTGTTTCCTCTCAGTTTTGACATATAAGATCTTAAGAGCAAAAGATTATTTGTTACACATACCTTCTCGAATTTTGTGGCAGAAAAATGTATGTAATATTCTATGAAAGTCCTGTGAATTTCTGTGGTATCTCTTTGATTTCTTCCTTTTCATTTTTTATTTGGTTCATTAGTATTTTCTCCAACTTTTGTTTATTTGGCCCAAACCTGTAGTTTCTTAAGGGCTTACTCATGGCTTTATCCTTAGGAATCATTCTTGACAGTGCTTGGGGGATCATATGGGGTTTCAGGGACTGAACACAGGTCAGCCACTTGCAAGGCAGGAACGCTGCACACTGTACTAAAACTCTGCCCTTTCTTCTCCACTTCTATTATTGTGTGTGTCTAACTAATGGTATATCAGAATTGTTTATTTTTTAAAGAACAAACTAGGGTTTATTAACCTTTCGAATGTTTTTAGTTTTCATTTTACTGATTTTTACTCTAAGTTTTACTGTTCAATAGTCTAGCTAGATAGAATATTCTTGGTGATGTGTTTATTTCTTTGTTTTTAATTTTTAATTAAATAATTCTGATTTAAATAGTTATGAATAGTTGAGTTGGGCTGGAGTGATAGCACAGCGGGTAGGGTGGGCCAAGCTGGGTTCAATTTCTCTTTCCCTCTCGGAGAGCCTGGCAAGCTAACAAGAGTATTGCGCCCCCATGGCAAAGACTGGCAAGCTACCCGTACGTGTTTGATATGCCAAACACAGTAACAACAAGTATCACAATGGAGATGTTACTGGTGTCCACTCAAGCAAATAAGCAAATTGATGAACAATGGGAGGACAGTGCTACACTGCTACAGAATAGTTGAGTTATACATATATATATATAAATATATATATATATATATGTTTAAACACCAAACCCACTACCAGTGTCATCTTCTCTCTCACAGTGTTGCCATATTCCCTCCCCATCCTAAACCCTACATCATTACTGCCTGTCAACTTGAGGTGATTTTTAAAACTACATCTTATCATACTTTCCTGACCCATGAAATCTATCTGGAAGATAAACTATGAAACTTGTGGGAGTTTCTTCGTATGATTTTTCCTTCTTTGATCTTGTTGCTTTATATATTCTCTTTTGGGATTATGCCATTTTGGTTATCACGTGTCTTGGAGATTTATTATTTGAGTCTATTTTAGCTGAGACCTTTCAAGACTCTTGAATCTGGTGCATGTATTCCTCAGTTTTGAGGGATTATTATCTATGATTTCTTTGCCATAGTTTTCATCAAAATTATCTTTCTGTTTCTTTGGGATTCTAATGATTCTTATACTGTTCCACTTAAACTCATTTCTTAGCTCTGGTGAACTGTAGATTTCTTTTCAGACATT